GAGTCAACTAGATAATAGAAAAAAAAAAAACTACCTCAGATTACCAGATTTGGAAGAAAGCTTAGAAAAGAATTCCAAACAACAATAACAACAACAAAAATCAAGAAAAATCTTTTTCAATGGGTGCAGTGGGACATGCCTGTAACAGCACTCAGGAGGCTGAGGCAGGAGGATCACTGCAAGTTCAAGGCCACCCTGGGCTATATAGTGAGTTCAAGACCAGCCTGAACTACCTAGAGAGACCGACTTGGAAAAAAAAAAATCTTTTTCGTTAAAGAAAAGAAATTCACTACATAGGAAATAAACTCCAGAAAAAAGTCATTCGTTGTACATGTCAAAGATAACCTTTAAGTATTAACAGTTTGGTGGACCTTTTTGCCAATTTAAAGTATTTGAGACTACAGTTGTCCAGCTTAATTTCTGTACCTCCTCTGGCCATAAAGAAAAAACAGCGACAAGCTGATACAGTTATTATAAAAGTACTGTATTTACCACAAAAGCCTTTAGTGAATATGCCTATCTAGGTAGGATATAAAGTAGTGGGAAAGAATACCACGGGATGCAAATGAATCATCCTCCCCCAGCTCTTAGGGGACTTAGCAATTGACTCCATTGTCATTCACTGCTTCCTAGGGTGACACATCAACAGTCTGCTCTATGATTTGCTCTTCTAGCTCACAAGAGTAATACCGTTTCACTCATTTTCCTGCCAGTCTAAGTCCATCAACACATTTACAGAGTTTGTTTCATTATATGCTTATCCTCCACACATTCCTTTATTCAATATGTATTTAAGTTAGTTGACACTCACTTTTTTGGGTAGACTAACCCATGTATCAGAGGAGGAAATTAACCCCAATCACTTTTTGTATGTATGTATGTATGTATGTTTTATCCACCCATCTGGACCGCAAGCTCTTCAGGGAACAGTCTGCTTTTGCTTGCTTTAATGCTTCCCTCTGTAGAGATTATAAAAACTTTTCCTTGGGATAAACCTAAGTTTTGCTTGCTCATATTATCAATGATAATATCCCTGAATTTCTGTCTTAAGTTAGTAACTTCCCCATAGCTATTAGTCTTGGTCATTGCAAGACACTTAAATGGTTGCAGGCACTGGAAATGGATAAAAAGCTCACAGACATGGAAAACATCACAATTAAATGGGAATGGAACACGGAACCAAACAGGGTAAGACACTGTCACTACATATTCATCTCAGGCAACTAGTCCTATAGAAAGCAAGACTCTCTCTTGACAGTGACATCAACTATACGTGAAGATAATAGAGATATAAACTAATAAATACTTTACCCCTTGGTCCCTATGTTACCATAATTTATTACTGGCAATAATGAATTATGTTAATTTTTAAAAACTCTAACATATTCAAATGGTAGTAAAAGTGACATATAAATTAAAAGAAATTTTAATTCTTTTCAAGGAAGTCTAGGTGATATAGAGGTGTTTATACAGAAACATAGTTGTACAGAAACATAGTTGAATCAACAGCATTTTATTTTTTTAATTTTTGGCACCGGAGATTGAACTCGGGACCTTGCGCTTGCAAGGCAGGCGGTGGAACCACTGAGCTAAATCCCCCGGCCCTCAACAGCATTTTAAATACAGGACTAGAATGTTCTGTTTCCTGGTCCAAATCTAAGGTCTCTGTTACATGCTACCAATACTTCTATTTATATACACTTCGTCTAGAGATGTAAACTACTTACTATACAAACTTTACTGTAAGTCTGACATCCTAATGGAATGAAGAGCAGGCATTTCTACACAGAGCTCAATCAGTAAGTCATATCTACTTTTACCACTGCTTGGATGCATGTAACTGAATGGTGCATCTTTCTTACAGTTAAAGGAAAAATATCAGGAAAGTATTCATAAGAACCAAGACCTGTAGTCATTCCAGTACAGCTCTTTGAAGACAGCCTCCTTGAACAGCAGATTTTCCACAATACACAGGTCTATTTCCACTATGAAAGCTTGTGAGCTTTGTAAATTCCTTAAAGGCTAGAACCTAATTTTTCAAGGCAGTACCCTTTCCCAATTACTCCACACACTGGGATATCAGAGTTATTGTTAAATGGATCATTTAAATGACAGAGCAGGTCATTTATGCCTGGCTAAGTAGTCCTGATTGTAAATTAGGTGCTTTGGGATCCATATGCTCTCTTGTGGGTCTCCAGGGTGACAGTACTATACTGAAGCACAGGAATAGCTTACTAACTGGTCTAACTCTGAGCTGGTGATTTAAAGCTGATGGAGACTTTGCCACTACCAATCGAGTGTTCTTAACAGCTGCTTCCAGAATGCCATTTTCCAATTTGGGGCTGACTGGATTAAAGAAATCTTTGTATTTACACTTTATTTCCATTAATATATTTGGGAGAAAATGCTTCTTTTGGGTTTAACAAACACCAAGGGTAAGAAGAAAAGTCATATGGAAAACACCCTATTTGCCTCTATTAAAAAAACCCCACGCTTGCAGCCTGCCTTGCAAGAGCAAGGTCCCAAGTTCGATTTCCCATATCAAACAAACAAACAACAACCACAAAACCTCCACGTTGCTTTTTACTCAATTTCTAAACACAAAAGGTATTTCTAAAAACCTTTAAGCACTGTCACCCTAATACTCTCAATTATAACAAATCAATGAATAGTTTGGAAAAAGTGGTACTGTGTTTGAAAGCCTTGTACTGCTGAATCATCCAAATCCTATATCAGTAATTGATATCATTTCTTTGTCGTTGCCTTTTTGAATTTATTGCCTTTTTGAATTTACCTCGTCTTAAGAGAACAGAGCCAAAGTAATACTTTCTCTGGAGATAGCATGTTCGAGCTTCTCAAGGTCATTAAGAATGTTATCTAAAAAAATCTAAATAAAAGGTGTTCATAAAATATTACACATCTCACGGGAACCAAACAGGACATATGCAAATGGCAAAATCTGTTTTTACCTCAACACTGATTTAACTTTGCAAGTAGCTGTACAGTCTAAATTTTACACAGAGAAGCTGGTGTATCTTGTTATCAGATTATAAACACAATGCCTATATCATCAAAGAGTTCATTTTCCCCCAACATCCAATTATCTTTTAAAGACATACTTGTGTAATACAGAGTTCAGTTTCATTTCAGACTTTAAAAAGTTAAAGCTCAAAATATCTCAGAGTTGGAAATTTTAAAAGCAAAGAAACTAAACTAGCTGAGGTTAAGAGAGGTGTAGCATGGCATAAACCTATATTTGTTTTTTATTTTTGCGCCACCCGCTTACAACATAGGAAAATATCCTTAGCAGATGTGAAATAAAAAAGATTTTGTAACAAACTTTCTTTCTTTTCCCCTCCTTCCTTTCCTTTTCCTTCCCTCTCAATGCTGTTTTGGAAATAGCTCTTTTTATTGAGTAAAAGGATTATAACAACTTGTGCGCGCGTGTGCGTGCGTGCGTGTGGTACTGAAGACTGAACCTGAGCCCTTTGCAATGAGCTACATCTAGAGTCCTTTACATTTTTTTTTTTCAATCTTGAGATACAGTCTTGCTAAGTAGCCCAGGCTGGATGTGAATCTGTAAGCCTCCTCCCTCAGCTTCCCAGAGTGCCAGGATTATGGGAATGTGCTGAGGGTAGATGAATACTAAATTAATTTTCATATAAATGTTAAATTTCCTAATCATGTACAAATCATTTGGATGTAAAAATGTAACAGTACTAAGTACAACACATTCTTTAATTTCAGGCTACAATATATGCCAACCACATAATATCCCATCTTGGCTAGAAGAGTAATTTATTTTTTAACTTACTACCTCTAAACTATTTTCTTTCTCTAAAAGGAAGAACGTAACTGAAGAATTTTTTATCACATGAAATATTCTCCTGTGGATTTTTGTCTTATGTATAGAATTAAGCTTTTATCTTTGGACTGTCAATTTCAAATTCAAACACATCTTGCTGAAATAAACAGTATCTATGACAATGTCAACAGCTACCCAGTAATAGCAAACTCATACATTATAGAGAACTACTGTGCTGAGACCCAGTTAAAGGAAATCTTACTGAAATCTTCTTAAAAGACACCCGAACTTACAAATGGTATAAAGGTCCCCGATTCAATCACTAAATATTCTCCAGTTTATCCTCAATTTAAAGCAGAACAGATTTGAAACTAGAGCAAATTAATCATTACTTTTAACTCTGTATGGCTGACAGGTTCCCCTATCTGTTCCTGCACAAGGAAGTGTTGCTGGGGTTCAAACCACACACACTCAGAGTTTTCTGGAATGACACTGGATTTGGGTTATCTACTTTTCTGTATTATGCAGCTGCAGGCAATAATACTTTGGTCTTTGACTAGCAAGAACAAAGTACCATCAGAAATATGTACTTTTTTTTTTTTTTTTTTTTGTAGAGGAAGTAGTTGGCTTCATGGAAATGAAATTCTGATGTTTTGCTTCCAGACTACACCGCAATGCATTCCTGGGATAAGGCCTCACATCTAGGTTGATGCTTACACTCTATGCCTATCCATTTCTTTCAAGGAATACTTTCTTTTTATCTAGTGGATAGGAAATAGTAGAGATTGAGATAAGCAATGTATATCTTCTTGTAACTAAAGCAATACATTTTCTTATTCCCTTGGCGATTGTTTCTATAAAAGAATACATGGTGGAAAAATGTGACTCATTTTACAAAAATATGTTTATAAGCAACTTTCCAAGAACACAGCCCTTTTGCTATGGCAGGAACATTTGTATTTACAACACAGAACTGAAACACCTACATGTTTCTCTGTATAACACAGCATGTTTCTCTTGGCTGAAACAATGTTTTATCTTAGTATTTGCACAAGAATTTATAAATAGGTCATCCTTGATAATTTGGCCAGAAGGACACTTAGGCATTAGTTTTGTTTTAGGGAAAACAGCAAAGTGTAACAGCATAAAACATGTTAGTCTTTTTCACTTTTTCTTTCACATGCACACAAGTTACCATCTGAAGTCTTCTTTAATTCAGTTTTCAGTTTTCCCTGGTCTTCTACTAGTTTTTTATTTTCTGCTTCCAAAACACATTCCTCATCTGTGCCTTGGGTTTTCAAGATCTACCAGAAAAGGATTAGAGGAAGAAGTAAACTTAGATCACAATGGCCAGATACTCTTATAGGAAGGAAGCTAAGTAACCTGTCTGAATTTATTGGTCTTTATTTAATTCTTTCTCTTTTTTAGTACTTAATTTTCTACAAGGTGGTTTTGCTAAAAGAGACTTGCTATCTGGCAAACACACCCAAAATATTTCTCCTTCTTATGGTAAAATCTCTGAAATGAAGATAAGAATTCCTGGTTAGGCTACAATTATGTTATCAAAATCATTTAGGTAAATAACGTGAATCCCTCTTCCTCAATTAAATGTGTGATGTAAATCTAAGGAAAGAAAAACAGTTCTGACGCTGATGTTAATTGGAAGGCTGACATTTTCTGACTGAAGAGCTACTCAGACTCTGGTTATATAGCCAAATTCTACATTTGAGTTTAACGTTATCAGGGTGAAGATGTAAGTGGACATGACAGGGCCATCTCTATGGTTGGAAAATTCTAATTTTCCCCGAACAGTCTCCAAATTACTTTTATTCACCTATTACTTTATAATGCTCTTTATATTTTAAAATCTAATCTGGCTTTAAAAATATTTGTAGCTTTTCTTTGCTAGGCAAGAAAATATATCTGAATAATGAAACAATTGACTGAAATAAAAACACCGTGGAGAAAGGTAAATTAACGTTTAAACAATAACATACGTATCCACTGGTAGGGGCCAGTTGACTAAATAAAGGGGCAGCAACCTAATACTGACAGCTTCCATAATCAAGTAAAAGAACAACTCAGGAGAATTTTTAAACAGAACTAAGGGAATAATTTCCACTATGGAGTGATACATTTTCTAATGTAAGTGGATACATTAAAACAAACAGATGTTTTAAGGAGCAATGACTAATATAAATATTTTACAACGTATGGTAATATATATACATATAAGGGATGAAAATGTAAAAGAAACATGGCTTCCACTGTTAAGTAACTTCAATCTAGTAGAAAGGATAAGGCCAGCATAAGACCAAATATAGCAGTATAATGGTGTAACAAATTAGGCCTCTTAGAGCAGGAATTAAAGCTTTAATGAATATATCATATAATCTTAATTAGTTTTCTGGAATTAGGAAGCTGAAGTATATTCTAAACTGAAGGAACCTCCTAACTTTTGAAATAAAAATTTTTTCAAAGTGCAGGACAAGGACAAAAAAATCTTCCAAACTTCTTTTAATTTGTGGCTTACTTCAAGTTCAAAATAATTCTAGCCATTATCTCACTGAATTCGGTTCATACAATCTGTGGTGATTACCCAAACTGGAAGAGAACCACTGAGCTGCAGGAATTTTACAGCGACTGGTTGAATTATTATGCCACTGACTTAGAAAACTTGGCTTTGTGTCAGTCTAGAAAATAAGCTTTCATTACCACACCTGTAAGATTGTCCAGATTTATTATGTGTAACTTCATGCTGAAGAAAGGTCAAGAGCCCTGGAGTCCGAAATTCAACAGCTGCCAGCTACAAGAACACGCGTGTCACTGTCCCACCTACTCTATCCCACCTTGTTGAGTGGCTGGGAAAGAGTCAGTGAGAAGTAAAGCTTTATCCCGTCATTTTAGAGCAATTAAATTAAATGTTGATTGGTCCTTCGCCATTATTACATTTATTTAACTGAGTATCAAAAGGGAAAGGGGTCTTAGGCACAAACAAGTCATTTTAGAGGCTAGAACAGGAGCTAAAGGCAAGAAATGATGAGGTTACAAGTGTGGATTCTAGAGTCAAGCTGTTTGTGTTCAATTTTCTGTCACTTACTGGCTGTATGATTTTGTGTAAGCTACTGAACCTTCCTGTGCCTCTGTTTCCTCATCTATAGAATGCAGATAATAAACTATAAACCTCATGGGGCTGTTGTGAGAATTCAAAGTTAATACCTTAACTGTGAAGCATTTGAGGCGATGCCTGGCATAGTGCTGACTATTAGTTACAGCTAAGGAACCTTGAGGCCTGGAACATTATGGCGGGAACTTGCCCCATTGCCCCAAGTCATACTGCTACTGGGACCAGCACCCAAGTCTCTTGGTTTTCAGCATAATGCTCCTTCTACTAGGTAACAGACCTCTGATAGAGAATAAAGAGTTATTTTAACAATTTCATTGTTCCTTAGTTAGTATTTTGAAACCCACAGAAGTATTCAGATTGGGGGCCGGGGATGTAGCTCAGTGGTTCCTCACCTGCCTGGCAAGCACAAGGTCCTGAGTTTGATACCTGGTACCAGAAAACTGACATTCTAACCTATGGCCTTTATTGTTACTTTACCGGTCAGTTAGTTCCACTCTGAGGACTGAGTGCTCAGTTCAGACTTCCTTTCCACTGTGTACTGGCTCCAGTCTAGCATACCTGCGCTTCCTCTGAACATCTAGGATTGCGTTACAGCTGTGTACAGAGCAGGGAACCATGACAGCATGGGATCAAAGGAAAGGAAAAAAAGACAAAGGAGAAAAACCCCAAAGGAGGTCAAGGAACCAGTGACCATGAAATAAATATCTTTGCAAGGGTAACTGGATTTTTTGGTTGTTGTGGTTTCTGGTGCTGGAAATTGAGCCCAGGGCTTTGAGCATGCTAGGCAAGTGCTTTACCACTGAGCCACATCCCCAGCCTGGGAAACTGGCTTTTGGTAACAGTTTCCAAAATGTTTGAGGATAGGGAATTTTTTCAAGAACAAGACTAATTAAAGTACATTAATTATGGTGCATATGATAAAAATAATAGTATCAAAACTTTATAAAATACTTTCCTTTTTCTTACAGCGGAAAGATGGGAAAACAACTGAAGAGGGAAAAAGCAGTATTCTAATAGTAGTTGGATTTCATTACTCTAAAATACTGTTCATAATTTTAAATTGGTAAGGGTACATGGTAAGCCTTTCCATAAATACAAGGCTATGCATCTTTGAGTTTAGTTGTCATATAGTAATCAAAGCTTTTAGGACTGTGGTTTTATTTTTATGCTGTGAAATGAGATTATACCTATAAGCTTTACCTATTATTTATTGAAGTAACTTCAAGATACAAAATTAAGTTATTATGTTGCTGAAACATTCCAAAAGAAGCAAAAAATGACATTGTTTATTTGCTTTTGAATATAGAAAATATCAACATCTTGATTTCTAGGAACTGTATTTATAAAAGGAAATTTACAAGCCATGAATAGATGGCTTTTCAAAACAGCACAAAATAAAGCAAAATATTACCTCATTCTTTTACTTTAAGTTTCCTTAAATGACGCTGGACACGGTCAACTCGAAACACTTTTAAATTCTGTTTCTATGAAAAGAAATCTTTAACTTTTTGTTATAGACTAAATGAGACAAATACTATAAAAAGTAAAACACGGAGTTTGAATAGGTGATCATGATAGTGTAGCATCATTCAACTTTTTGCAGTTAGTTTTGCCTCATTTCATAGATTTTAGAAAGCTTTATACTGTGCCACATAATAGCTAGCTCATTTAGAATTGATGAAAGGTAGTGCTTATAGCTCTCTGTGTCAGAGGCTGGGCTTTTGGACTTAAACAAGGATTTTAATTCTCTGTGGTAGACTCAAAAATACTCCTCATATAACAGTGTAATGTATAATGCTGTTGCATTTCATTATAGAAAAACAATCCTATTCCATCATTTTAGGAACACTTTCTTTAAGAAAATCTGTCTTACGTCTAAATGGGTCCGGTGATTTTTTTCCCTAAGAAGCAATAGTGAAACTTACGGGCCTTAGTATGAATTAAAAACACTGCTATGAGATCTGAGTCCTAAATTTTAAATTTAAGAAAAAAATACCGAAAGTACTTTTACATCTTTCATTTTTCCATCTGTGGTTCTTTTTAGTCCCTAGGGCAGAAACACTAGCACAAGATCCACACTCTCCCTAAATGTCAGGGGAAAGATGGCATCCTGTTCTCAAAGAAGAGATATCATCAGCATCATCAGATTAAAGACTTTAAATATGATGCACAATCATCAGTCTAGCAGCAATGAACTCCCTCTGCTTTCTACATAAATGATCTAACTGAAAAAGAAACAGAAACAGAATTGTAAAGATTTATGTTAGGTTATGAGATAAAATCCACAGTAATGCAGGGACTGAAATTCACACTCCCTTGAGTCATAGGAAATAGGTCCGATGGCATTAATTTACTGTTGGGAAAAAGCAAATCTAAAGAACAGTAAAAGTACTTTTGAAATAATCATTCAATAGAATCATATTGCTATTTGTGGCCATTTTCTGCCAATAAATTATGAAAGTCCTCCTTTCGGTGTTGAAAAGCAATACATCACTTCTTTGGAATATCAACAGCATTTGTATAAATGATTACAAAGAAAATGAAATACCCGTTTAAGTTTTTCATTCTCTTCCATGAATCTCTGGGCAGCCTTATTAGTATTTTCTGCTTGAGTTTTAAGTACTCCTTTGTTTGACAGTTCTTTTGCCAGCTGAGTAATAAGTGTAACCAGACGTCTCAACACCCTGAGGAGAAAAAAAATCAGAATAGCTCATAACCAGATGGTCCAGTGACTCCCAGTTAGGCACAGAGGTGTGGTGGTGAAGAGGATATTCAAAATGGAACACATTTAAAAAAAAAAAAAAAAAGACAAATGTAACTCTCAGCTAAAACAAGCCTATGGATTCCTTTGGAATCTTTGTTAGAAGCTTATAATTGGAATAGCCAGGAGAATATACAGGTCGAGTGGCACTTTTCTCTCTTTATTTTTTGTGGTTCTAGGGGCACTGAACCTAGGGCCTTATGCATACAGTGGTACTTCTTATTTTTCTTGTAGAGGCCCCTAGCCAGTAACAGTAGAAACAGGAGAATTTCAGACAGTGTGGCAAGGCGAGAAAGAGAAAAAAAATTATTTTGGCCTATGTCAAAATTTACCAAAGAGCATTGTATAAGGTTGGCCAAGCCTAAAAACTGCTCATTCACATGTTTACATGTAACTTCCATTGTTAGGAAGTGTAATTCATTGCTTCAGTTATTCATTCAGTAGGTATTTCCCGAGGAACTGGTAGGTGTTAAACACGGTATCAGGTGCCAGGGACACTACAGAAAATGAACTCAGTGTAGAAAACCTTAAGGAGTTTAAATTCTAGTTAAGAGGCATGGCTTTAAAACCGTATTATTTGTGAGTGATACCAGAAAGTTAAGTATATGCATATTCTAAAAGAGCAGAAGACCCATCTACTTTGGGAGGAATGATGGGCACAGAAGGCTTCCCTGAGAAAGAGGCTAAGGAAGACTGGGAGTTAGCCAGGTGAAGAGGGAAGGAAGAGTTCTGGCAGAAGAAAACGGGTTGTATGACGCCCTCGAAGTGGGAAGGAGCTGGGGACGCCGTAACACTCTCTATTTGTTGTAAGCAGGAATGAATAAATAAATAGTGAAGGTGAATGAGGTGGAATTGTATTAGACACATCAGAGAACAGTGTGAGAGAAGACTCCAGAGAGGCAGGGAGGCGCGGTCACTCAAGGACCTATGGAACTAGCAGACCTATAAGCTGCAGCTTATATTATTTATTCGAGTATATCATCTAAGTTCTTTTATGAAGATGTTAGTACAGTAAAATGACTGTGGAATAGGTAGAAAAAAATAAGAAAGAGAAATCTAAATAATTTTTTACAACTAAAAGTATGCTTTTTACTTACAGCCAAAAAAATAACGAAAATCCCGAAATGTAAAGATTTCTTTGAGATCTGAAAAGTTTCATCTGTGTATGTTCATAGGCGCTTGTTTTGGTGGCTGAGATCTTCTCAAGGGAATGAGCATAGGAATATTTCCTCACTTCTCTGACAGCATCTATCACAGAAACAGAAAACATCCTTTTTTTTTTGGTACTGGGGACTGAACTCCCAACTTTGCGCTTGTGAGGCAGGTGCGGTGCCACTGACCTAAATCCCCGGCCCTCTTTTGGTTTTTAAGAATATAAAAATTATTAAAAGTGACAGGCAATTTTAGAATAAATTATCAAACTTTTCAATGATGGAGTTTGGGTACGGGCTTCTGTCTGTCCTTCAGTACCTGGGGAAGTATCAGGCTGGAAGTAGGTACTTCGCAAATGGGTATTAGTAGCAGATTACAAATTATTTTGGCATTTTATTTTAAATCACTAATAGACTTACCATCACTGTTCTGTTGTCTTTTGTTATTCTGCAAACTCTTTTATCTTTCACTCTATCCCTTGTGACGAAAATTTAATGTATTAACAATTAACAGGTATAAATAACAATTCCAAGAGACAACACTATTTCTCTTACAGTATTAGCATTTTGTTATGTCTATTAAACAACTGAGATCTTTAGAAATATTTGGTTCCATTGAAATTTTCACTGGCATAAATTTATTAAGATGGGATTTGACCTGTGGTGGCACACACCTCCCCAACTAGCAAGTGGTGGCACCTGCTACTGGACATGTTCAGAGAGCTGTCCTATGATGTATTTTAGATCTAGGGGAGCTGTTTCTTTCCAGGAGAGAATAGATACGTGCTTTTGAGGATCTATATTTAGTACACTCTTAGTCACTGGATTCTTGCATGTCCTGGAGATCTGCTTTAGATCTGCCAATGGGGCCAAAAGCAACTTCTACTACTGTATTTCTTTCACGTGACCATGAGCATTCTTGGGAAAGCATTTTTGCCATATAAGGAAAAGAACTCCTGTCAGAAAACTGAAGCCATTTTGACTATTTGATTTTATTTTTTACAGCAGCTTTACTGCAACATAATTCACATAACATAAAAATGGCCTTTTTAGTATATTCATAATACTAAATACTTTTGTGACCATCATTATCTAATTTCATAACATTTTCATCATCCTCAAAAGAAACTGTATCCATGCTTCCTCTACTCCAACTCCTAACCACCATTGTGTCTGTACGGATCTGCTTATTCTGTACACTTCATATAAATGAATTAATATGCCAATCTGTTTTCTTCACTTAGCATAATGCTTTCAAGGTTCAACTGTTACAGTATATACAGTATATATCATTACTTTTTATGACTAAATAATATTCCACTGTACAGATACAACACTTTTCATTTATATCCATTCATCAGCTGATGGACGTCTTGGTTGTCTCCACTGGATTGTTACGGAAATGCTGCTAGGAATGTTCATGTACTCATTTTGTGCGGATATGTTTTCATTCCTCCTAGTAAATACCCAGGAGTAGAACTGCCACATGGGTACTCTGTTTAACTTTCTGAGGAACTTTTTTCCAAAGCAGCTGTACCATTTTACATTCCAACAAGCTGTATAAGATGGTCCCAACTTCTCCACATCCTCAGCAACATTTGTTATCATCTATCTTTTTTATTACAGACACCCTAGTGAGGGTGAAACGACATTTTCTGATGGCTAATGATGTTAAGCATCTTTTCAAGTGCTTACTGACCATCTGTATTTCATCTGTGGAGAAATGTGTATTCAGATCCTTCATCCATTTTCAAAGTGAGTTATTTGCCTTTTTATTTGTTCCCCAAATTTCTTTTGCAGATTTCTTTTTCAAGCCAAGATTGAACATTCATCACACACAGTTTAACCCCTCTGTGGTCTTTTGATGTACAATGCCTAGCTATGAAGATCTGACTGGATCAGGTTTAATACTGTGGCAGGAATCCTTCTTACTGTGACTTTATTTGGTTTTAGGATCATCTATTAGTTGGGGTTCTCCAGACAAACAAAACCAATAGGAGCTGGGGATTTAGCTCAGTGGCACCGTGCCTGCCTCACAAGTGCAAGGTCCTGACTTCAATCCCCGGTATGGCAAGAAACAGAACAAAAAAACCCCCCGAGAACACCAAGAGTGTGTGTGTGAAGAGGAAGAGAGGAAAGAAGGTGGGATGGGTGGTTTGTTGGTTGTTTGATTTTAATGAATTGCCTCATGGGAAAGCTTGGTAAAGCCATAATCTGCAGGACAGACCTGCAGGCTGGAGACCCAGGGAAGAGTTAGTTTGCCGGCAGAATTTCTTCTTGCTTAGGGAAGTCAGTCTGTCCTGTTAAGGCCTTCTCATGACTGGGTAACACCCTCCCATATTATGGAGAGTATAATTTGCTTTACTCAAAGTCCACTTATTTACATATTAATTTTAGCTAAAATGCACCTTAATAGGCATATTCACAATAATGCCTGATCAAGTATCTAGGCACTGTGGTAGAGCCATGTTGAGAAATAAAATTAATCATTGGAGATAGTGACTGTAAGATTTCTGTAGTATAAAGGTTTTACGTTTTTTTTCAATCAGACCTCCAATTCTGTGTCTGAAAAGATTTCTTTTATTCAGCTGTTATGAGTTTTCTGCTTGTCTGAATAAATTTTAGAATCAACCGGTCAATGTCCACAAAAATGCCTGTAGGATTTGGTTTTATTTATTTATTTATTTTTTGGTACTGGGGATCGAACTTGGGTCCTTGCGCTTGCGCAGCAGGTGGTGAAACCACTGAGCTAAATCCCTGGCCTGCCTATAGGATTTTGACAGGGACTCTATAGAATGCACTGACTGATTTTGGAAGAATGAGCATTTTAATAATATTGAGTCTTCCCACTGATGAAAGTACCTCCACTTATTTTGATCTTTTAAAATTTCTACCAACAATGTTTTTGTAATCGTTAATACACAGCTCTTATACATTAATTTATAAAGACTATTTTAGGCTTCTGGGTTAAACTTATAAAAGGAATTTCTAGAAATTTCATTTTCCAGTTGTTTAGTATTTACAATATGGGCACACAATTAATTTTTGAATATTGACCTTATATTACGTGATTCCACTACATTAATTTCTTTTACATAGTACCTTCCTTGTAGATACTTAAGGAGTTTCTACCAAAACAATCCTGTCAGCCAGATGTGGCAGCACATGAGACAGCAAGATCACAAGTTTGAGGCCAGTCTGGACAACTCAGTGAAGTCTGTTTCAAAATAAAGAACAAAACAAGGGCTGGGGATGCAGCTTAATGAAAGACACTAGGTTTAACCCCAGCACCACAAAACGAACTCCGCCCTAGCCCAAATAATACTATCTACAAATAAGTACTATTTCACTTCTTTCTTTGTAAATGTATCCGTTCTATTTTCTGGACTTGTTATCTTGATTAGGACATCTATTACTTAAATGAATAAAAACAGTAAAACTGAATATCCTTGCCTTGTTCTCAGTCTTACAGGGGAAGTTTTCAACATTTAAAACAGTATGATGCTAGCTTGAGGCTTTTTGGTAGGTCAGATTCCTTACAATAGGGGATTTTCCTTCTAATCCTAATTTGCCAATTAAAAAAAATGAGTGAATATTCTTAAGGTAGAAATTAAGATCAGTCATTTTAAATTTTTTCCCTAATAAACATTTAAGCTATAAATTTTCCTCTCAACAGTGCTCTAGTGACATACCACAAATTTTGATGCATTTTCATTATTCACTTAAAATATTTTCTAGTTTTTCTTGTGTGCTCTTTGGTCCAAGTGTTATTGACAAGTATCTTGTCTGATTTCCAAACAGGTAGACTTTTCCTGGTATTTGTTACTCTTTTCTATTTTATATCATCTGCACGATTTCAATCTTTTGTATTCACTGATACTTGCCAGAGGACTGGGGGATGTACCTAGCCCTTTCTAAATATTTCAAGACAGAGTCTCGCTAAGTCACTAAGTTGCCTAGGCTAGGCTCAAACTTGTGATCCTCCTGCTTCAGCCTCCCAGAGAGTTGGGATTATAGGTGTGGGCTATGGTACCTGACTAATTTTTATACTTTTTAAAGGGTAAGTCTGCTTGGCTTAATTTTTACTTCAGTAAATTTTTAATTCCCGGGACACAGGCTCTATCCCTAGGAAATGAGTCTTTCTGTAATTTCAGTAGAAAAGTTTTCAAGTCTTTATCAAGCCCATCTTACATAAGGCTCAAACTTCAAACTGTCTCTTCTTGGTAGGCAGCAGGCAAAATTTCCAATCAGTTCTTGCTGCTTCCCAGCTGCTAATGTCCCCACGAGCTCCTTGGAATCTTCCCTACCTATCCACGGTTCAAGAGTCAGCCAAGGACTTAGGGGAAGGTGTGTTTATTCACAGATCTTTGGTTTCCTTTCTGGGGTTCTCATCCATCTTAGACATTTCCCCTTCATTTTTGGCCTTTCTCATACCTTCAGAGCAGCCACTGGCTTTTGAGTGGCAGCTGCCCATGCCATGTAGACTGTAAAGTGGTTGGAAAAGAAGCCATAAAAGCCAGGCGTAGTGGCACATGCCTGTAATCCCAATACTTGGGAGGCTGAGGTAGGAGTATCACTATGAGTTTGAGGCCACCTGGACTACATAGTGAGCTCAAGGCCAGCCTGAACTACATAGTTAGACCCTGTCTCAACAAACAAACAAATAAACAAAGAAGAAGCTATAAAATTGATCACACCCAGTGTGATTTCCTCTTTAAGGATAGACTGACCTCCTCCTTCTGCTTGCTTTTGGTTATATTACCAAATACTCTTTTATTTTCAAATGCTTTTTTCATATTACCCAGGGTTCAGAATTTTTAATCATGGAAGGGATAGTCTAACATAAATTTCCTTTGTCAGTGCTAATAACAGGACTCCTATGTCTTTTAAAAAAATGTTCACTTTATTTACTTTTTCTTTTTGCGGGATTGGAGATTGAACCCAAGGCTTCTGCACTAAGCTACATCTCCAGCCCGTTTTTTATTTTGTGATGGGGGCTCGCTGAGTCACTCAATTGCCCAGGCTAGGCTCAAACTTGCAATCCTCCTGTCTCAGTCTCCCAGAGTTTTAATTAACTGGGGTGAAATCCATATAAAATTAAATCAACTGGTTTAAACAACCAGTGGCATTTAGGATATCACATTATTGAGCAACCTACATCCATCTACTACCACATTACTATCACCCCAAACTAAAACCCAAACAATGCACTCCAAAATTATAAAATTCTTAATTTTTTGGCTTTATATTTGTATGCTGTTTTTGTTTCTGTCACTGAAGATCTTACCTTCTAGTACTATTAAAACTTCTTTGCTCCATGCTGCAATATACATAGTTTAAAAATTTCCAAGCATAAAACTACTAACTGAAGTTTCATATTTTATTACAATTCTTATTGTTCTTAAAATATGAGCTGCTTGAAAGAATTCCCTGTATCATATACTATCTGACATACTATTTGATGTGTTTGTTCTGGTTTACTTTCAGTGCCAGAGCTTGCTTTTTCCCTAGCTTCCTAAGCTTTGTTTTAAGTTTTCTTTTTCTAAGTTCTAGACCAGTTCAACATTGGTATTACCTGGTTTTTCAAAGTGATGGCAGAACTGATGGCAAAGCAATCTAGTTTCATGTTTTTCTGAAGTAGTGGTCCTTCATCATAATGTTATATTTCTTTTATGAAAACTAGTCTGTATATGTTTTATATATCCATTTGGATTCACTTGACAAATTATATTTTTCTGCACTATTACCCCAGGTTTTCACAAATGTATCTGCACAGAGTTATATAAAATGCTCTGTTTGATGTTCTTTAATAAAATGTACTCTTAGGGCTGGGGATTTAGCTCAATGTCACCACACCTGCCTTGCAAGTGCAAGGTTCTGAGACAGATCTGGGTGGTGGCGGGGGGGGGGGGATGTACTTTTTTATTTTTTTGATGGTACTGGGGAATGAATGTGGAGCCTTGCACATGCCAGGCAAACATTCTACCACTGAGCTACAAAACCGAGCTAAATCCCCAGATCTTTTTATAACTTTGCTGGTTTCTTGTGACCCTCCTGCCTTAGCTTCCTGAGTAGCTGGGGTTACAGGCATGTGCCACTGAGCCTGGCTTCCTCTTTTTTTTTCCTCCTGTGGTATGGTGGATTAAACCCAGGGCTTTTGCACTGGAAAACACCTTAAGCCCTTTTCTCTCTCTTCTGAGATGGGGTCTTGCTAAGTCACTGAGTTGCTCAGGTTGGGCTCAAACTTCTGATCTTCCTGTCTCTGCTCCCCAAAGTACTGGTTTCCGCTATCTTATTAGCAGTTTTATCTTTGTCATTCTTCAAATTGCTTCCATAATATAGTAAGAGCATGCTGACAACAAACCAATCAAACCAAAAGGCTAGCCAATATTAGTGAAGTTTGAGAATAAATGGTCATATAAACCCATTTGTAGAGTAGATCACTTGTATATTACATCAAAAAAACTATGTCTGAAACAGGGAACGAGGTTAACAACAAGGGAAGGGTATGACATGCAATCAATTTTCTATACATCATGTGAAGATGGTGTTTTTTGATAGATCACATTTATAGAAACTTCCTAATTCCTGGAATGTACTTCTACAAATACTAATCCTTCAATCTTTTACCTACAAAGAGTGATCAAAATATCTCGTGAATATATCAATTTAAAAAATATCTCAGTAAAAAACACATTTCCATTAACTGCCTTGAAATAGTTCCCCTTGCTTTGAACACACATAGCCCATCATTCTTGTCACTTTCTGAAGCAGTTCTGGAAGTCTTCTTTCAGGAAGTCTCTCTGTGAGGTATGATAAAAAATACAGTGATGCTGCTGCTGAATGTCATCCAAGGGAAAGGGGGGCTCATAAAATCACTACAGTGTGTTCTCATCCACTTTATTCACCAGATCTGGTACTGCGTGACGTCTGGCTGATCCCCAAGGTCAAAATGACCACGAAGGGTAAACATTTTGAATCAATTCAGGACACTGAGGCAGCCATGACTGCACAGCTGAAGACACCCGCTACTTCAGAAAGCGGCAAGAATGATGGGATAAGTGTGTCTGAAGTGAGGGTAGTATTTTGAGGGGGATTCATGTCTCTTACTGTAATAAATTAAAAAAGGGTTTTCAACATTCACTGTATTTTTAATCACACCTTGTACATATTTTTCTGTTTCCTACTTCCTTTTCTACTTAAATTTATACCCTGATACAGACATGCATACAGGCTTTGTTATTATTGGCTCTAGGAATATACATACATACACATATATATATATATATAAACTTTATA